TTGCAGGTTAGCTCAGTCCTTCATAGCGCCTGCTTGGGTACACTCAGTCAGGAGCAGGGGACCCTAGTTCGACCCCCAGTTCCACAAGCTGCACCAGACCCGCCCCTGAAGCAGCTTTAGCTAGGAAAAGAAAAAAAAAAAATCCTTCTCCAATAGGGCCGGCGGGATAGCTCAGCGGACTACAGCGCCGGCAGCGCAGTGGCAGGGCAGGCCCCGCCCAAGGGGCGCACTGAGACAAGTGGGCTTGAGACTACTGGGTGTGGTGAAGCGCGCCAGTAATCCCAGCGCTTGGGAGGCTGAGAACAGGAGTACAACCTATGCATATAGTTAGACCCCGTCCTAAAATACAAAACAAAACAAAAGCCAGCAGATCTGATGCACTGAAATGCCACAGAAAGAACACAGTAAATGGAGGGAAAAAAGGTAAATCAAAGCTTCTGGACAAGATGGAACCCCAATAGTAAATTCTCTAAAATTACTGAGTAGCCAGTCATGGTGGCACAGCTCTAATGGATCGGTGAGAGTTCATGGTCAGTCTGAGCTACAAGTGAGACCCTGTCTCACAAAAAAAAGCAGGGAACAGTGGAATGAGCGCTTCCCTGGCAAGTGCAAGGGCCTGAGTTCAATCCCCGGTTCTGCCAAAAAACAACAACAGGGAAGAAGGGTGGAAAGGAAGAAGGCAGGGAGAAAAAGGGGGTGGGGAGGAAGAAAGGAAAAAAAGATGAGCTTGCGGCTCGCTGTAGTAATTGCTACGACAGGCAGAGGGAGTACGTGAGCAGCCGCTAGAGTGCAGACCTACCCACCCCCGCCAGAGCAAACCCCCAACCACCCCACCCCTTGCCCCCTCACCTCATCCAAGATCTCACCTCATCCAAGACCCACTGCAGCCGGCTGTTGCTGCCCTGAGCCTTCCCGCACCCAGGCCATGGCACCTGTTTGGGGACCCTTCCCACTCAGCTTGGGGTTGGCCAGGAGGCTAGATTTCCTTCCAGTAGTGAAACGTGGCCACGTGCCCCTCAACATCAGCAACAGGATTATGACCTTGACTACTGCCCACTAGGCACTACCAGTTTCTACCGCAGCCATTGCTGTGTCCAGTTCCATCGAGGGCATGTGGGAGAAAAGTCCAGCTAGACCATCTTTCTCAACCCGAAGCCACCATCGCATCCCTCCTCTGCGGGGCGACCTAGCAGCTGGGAGGTGACCTGATTAACCAGCGGCCAGATCTAGGTATCATCATCCACGACCCAGAGAGTGGCTTTGCCACCACAACTTAGGGCTGCTCTGAGCCCAGTGGCACCACAGTGGTGAGTCTGAAGAGAGAGCAAGAGGATGAGGAAGAAATCGAAATGTCTGGATGGGAAAGAGGCAATTGCCTGCCAAGAGGCTGAAATCAGGGTCACCCCCTGGAAGAGACAGCAAGGCTCCCAATGACCAGAGGCTGGCACCCCGCACTTAAGTGTGAGCACAAGTAAGAGCCCTGCTGTCCCAGGGCCAAACAGGCGCAAAAGCTCATTTCAGAAAAGAACTTGAGGGGCTGATACAGCACAGTAGAAGAAGAGCTTGTCTGGCAAATGCAAGGGCCTGAGTTCAACTCCCGGTTCCTCCAGAAAAAAGAAAAAGATTTGAGGAAGCACAGGAAAAGCCTGAGTTCGCTACAGAAACGAAAAAAGCTCCTCTGCTGCAGGCGCTTATTTCAAACGCCAAAGATGGATAACCACAACAGCTGGGCCTGTAAAGTTGCTCGATGAACTGCCTCAAACAGCACTTTGGGCATGAAAAGAAAAAAAAATTTTTACACTTGATATTTTTGCCCCTTTAACCCATTTCTATGTGCAAATTTTTTTTTTTTTTTTTTTTTTTTTTTTGCGGAACCGGGGATTGAACTCAGGCCCTTGCGCTTGCCATCTCCGCTTATTCCGCTGAGCCATCTCCCCGGCCCCTTTGTTTTTTGTTTTTTTTTTCATTACTGGGAATCAAACTCAGGACCTTGCCCTTGCCAGGCAGGCACTTATGCTGTTGAGCTATCTCCCTGGTCCTATGTGCAGCACCTGCAGCACCTATGTTGTTTTAAAAAAAATCTTTTTTTAAAAAAAAATAAAAACTCTACATTTATTGGCCTTCAGTAAAAACATAAGGATAGTCAAGACAATATGAATAAATGTTTTTCAAACACTCCCAGGGCAAACCACTTAAACAATTGCCTTTTTACATATCATCATAATTGCCACTGCCTCACTTCCCTGTTTGAATTCACTGATCATTTCTAGTTGGAGACACTTTGTAGCAGAGTAATGTTATCTCCTTCCAGCACGATCCGACCCTGTTGTTTTCTTGACTTTTAGAATGAATTTTTTCTGCATCATCTAATACAAGGTTCATGTACGCATCAAAACCAATAATACAGGGGGCTGGTGAGATGGCTCAGTGGTCTAAAGCACTTAAAACAAGCTTAGCAAAGCACAGGGACTGCACCTGGATCCAGGATCTGTTCTGTAAGTATCTGAAGATGAGGTTGATGAGCTGCACCATCACCTTCTGGACTATAAATTTATTAACATATTTGTGGGGCCAGGGAGATGGCTCAGTGGAATAAGTGCTTCCCTGACAAGCGCAAGGGTCTGAGTTCAATCCCCAGTTCTGCCAGAAACAAAACTAAAAAAAAAAAACAAAAAACAAAAAACAAAAAAACGTATTTGTAAGAATTACACAAAACTTCAAACACACATTTAAATCTTAAAGTACATTTTCCTTTTTTTTTTTTTTTTTTACATTTTCCTTTTTAAGGTTGACTTCTATTGTTTCTGAGAAAAGTTGGCAAATACATAATTAGGCCAAAATATAGGAAGAGATGTATCATGTTTATGTATTAGCTCCTCATGATAAATGTAATCCTTATTTACTTCAAACACGCTAAAATTATTAAACCTTGAATAGAAAAAAATAGGTTGCAATGAATTCAAGAATTCCATTTTTAGAACATTAAAAACATGCAACAATGCTAAGTGTGGTTGTGCGGGCCTGTATCCCAGCGCTCAGGAAGCTGAGGCAGGAGGACCCACTCAAGTTCAAGGCCAGCCTGGACTAGATACCCAAACGCTGTATCAAATGACAAAAACCAAAGCCCGACTTTGGGGCACACAGTGTGATCCCACCCTTGGGAGGCTGAGGCTCGAGGACAGCAGTTGGTTCGAGGCCAGCCTGAATTCCTCAGTGAAAGGCATTCTCAGCAAGTGGCTACCATACACAAGAGACGATGTTTCAGGCCGGAGAGATAGCTCAGTAGAATAAGCGCTTGCCTGGCAAGCGCAGGCTCCCGAGTTCAATCTCCGGTACCGAAAAAAAAAAAAAAAAAAAGACAACGTTTCCATCGCAGCACAAAGTTCTACGAGCAAAGGAATCCTGGAGCAAGATTTCTTGCCATCTTACACATTTTTTGGTCTGGTTGTTAAAATCCTCCTGCCTCAGCCTACATTTATGCTGGGATTACAGCCATGCACCACGACGCCCGTCCTATTTTACTAAGTTTTCAAACTCAGGATTCAATGTTCATAGCAGCGGGCACGAGAGCCTTAAGATCTCAGGATTTGAGGCGGCAGCGGGGAGTCAGGCAGACAAGGTTTCAAACCCCCGCTCTGCCCTTTACCACCTGGGGGACCAGAAGTGTGTCTCCTAACGAGACTGTTTACCCAGGAAACGGAGATCACAAGCGCATTTACGTCACAGTGTGTCTGAGAAACGCCACACTAAAACATTAAGTCCTCGTAATTTATAACGGTGAAAGGGACTCTGGAGCTCCCCGAGAGCGGGAGAAGAGGCGGGCACTCCGCCCGATGGAGCGCAGGCCAGCGCTTCCCGCCCCCACACCGCCCGGCCGCAGGGCGCGGGCTCGGGGTCCTCGGTGCCAGGCGACTGGCGCCCGCCCCGCGGCCTCGCCACCTGCCCAGGCGCCGAGTTCCACGGCCGCCCGCACCCCGCCTCCTAGGCTCCGTAACCAGGACCCGTGGCTGAGGAAGTTACTCTGAAACTAGAAGCCCAAGACCCGGGGAGAAGCAAGCGCCACCTCACCTGAAGGCGTCGGTAAGCGCCAGAACTTCCGAACCGGCTGCTGCATTTAAGGTCGTTAACCCCGGAAAACTCCGTGCGCACGGAGGCCAACCATCTCTTCCTAAGCAGCTCAAGCTCCCCGCCCAAACCTCAGGCTCGGCGTGCTCCCATTGGACGGGAGCGCCAGCCGGTGACCAATAGTCTGTCTTGTTCTTACGCTGGTGGCCTAAAACCGAAACAACGGCATTCTCATTGGCTGATGCTTGGTCCATTCATAAGGCGGGACTAAGGACGATGAAGCCTTGTACGATTGGCAGAAATCTGTGTCAGTCACCTCGTGCTCACCCCCCCCCAAGAGGAGACCGGAAGGGGATTTTTGGCGCTCTTAATTTGAACGTTCTGGCGGGAGAAAGTTGGGAGAAAAAATTAATTTGGTTTATTTGGGAATAAAGAAAAAAATATTAAATGTGTGCCTCCTGCTGCTTCTCCCAAGACGGTTAATGAGAGGTCTTTTTCTGACTGTTGTGGCTCGCTGACTCAAAAGCAGCTGAATTGGAAACAAGCCCAAACTTCAAGGATTTATTCATCTTTCTGGGTTTGAGATACTGAACAAACAATACCTGCCTCTTCCGAACCTTGGGTATTTTTCACTTATGAAATTCCAGATTTCAACTGGGCGTGGGAGCACGCCTGTAATCGCAGCGCTGGGGAGGCTGAGACTGAATCACTACGAGTCGGAGCTGCGTAGCGAAAGCCTGTACGAAATAAATAAATAAAAGATAAAAACAAAAGCCCTTTCCGCTACAGCAACCATTGAAGAACAGTCTCCCTCTCCGCTTTCCCATGGCCGTGGGCCTCAACAAGGGCCACAAGGTGAGTAAGAATGTGAGCAAACCGGGGCCCGGGGAGATGGCTCAGTAGAATAAGCGCTATCCCTGAATCCCCCGGTTCGCTAAAAAAAAAAGAAGAAGAATGTGAGCAAACCATGCCGGACACGGTCCAGGAGGTGTGCAGCTTCGCCCCCCAGGAAAGGCGAGCCATGGAGCTGCTCAAGGTCTCCAAAGATAAACGCACCCTCAAGTTCAGCAAGAAAAGGGTGGGGATGCACATCGGGCCAAGAGGAAACATGAGGAGCTGAGCAACGTGTTGGCCGCCATGAGGAAGGCAGCTGCCAAGAAGGACTGGTGGAGCCCCACTGGAATAAAGCTTTGCAGAAAGCTTAAAAAAAAAAAAAAAGTCCAGATTTCTGCAAGAGATCTGGTCTCCTGAAAAAAATGATGCTGGGCCGGGGAGGTGGCTCTGTAGAATAAGCGCTTCCCTGGCAAGCACAAGGGCTTGAGTTCAATCCCTGCTTCTGCAAAATAAATAATAAATAAAAATTGATGTGGTTGAAGACCTTCTTTAGGCCTCCTCCGAGCTCTTAACTTTGGGTCCCCTCAGAGTGCTGTCATCATTTCCTGGAATGTAGACAGTATAGCTGCCGAAAACGATTTAATTTTTTATTTTATTTATTTTTTTGGCAGAACTGGGGATTGAATTCAGGCCCTTGCGCTTGCCAGGGAAGTGTTTATTCCACTGAGCCATCTCCCCAGCCCCTAAAATATATTTAGTACAGAGTCTACAGTGTTCAGCCTTCCAAAGACTAGGATTATAGGTGGGCACAACCATGCCCAGCCCAGTCTCAATCGCTGTCTCAGCGCACCCTGGGGGCGGGTCGGCACTTGCTGGGGATCGAACCTCGGTCCCTGTGTCTGCCTAAGCAGGTGCTTTAACTCTATGAGCTATCTGGCCTGCCCAGTACTGATAATTGTAATTTTTCCCCCCCCCCAGAACCAGAGATTGAACGCAGGCCCTCGCACTTGTCAGGCAAGCACTTGTTCTACTAAGCCATTTCCCCGGCCCTGATAAAGGTAATTTTTAAAGAAGTATCTTGAAGGACCCTACGTGGTGACACACATCTGTAATCCCAGCACTCAGGAGGCTGAGGTAGAAGGATCGTTGCGAGTTCAAGACCAGCCTGGACTACAAAGTAAGCTAAAAAAAAAAAACTGTCTCAAAAAGATTAAAAAATAAAATAAAATTAAAAAGTGTCTTGAGGGGGCTGGTGGGATGGCTCAGTGGTCTAAAGCACCTACTTAGAACAAGCTTAGCAAAACACAGAGACCCCGGTTCAATCCCCCAGCATCACTTGCCAGTCAGCCCCGCCCCGCACACACACACCCCCTCCCCCGGTGGGCTGAGCTGGCCACACACACAAATAAAAAATTAAAAATTAAAAAAAAAAAAGTGTCTTGAAACATTTCCAAATGGCCCCTGGTAGGCAAAATTACACTTCAATGTGAGCTACTTTCTTGGAGATTATTTTTATTTTTGCTGGTGAGATGGTTTTATGGTTTGTGTCTAGGTATCCCCCCAAAGCCTCATGCCATCTTGGGGTGGCTTCTGGAATTTGTGATTGATTACTGTGGGTGCGCCTGCTGCACCTGCCCTGGGGCAGGTAATTTGCATTACAATGTAAGGTGGGGAGAGAAGCTAGCTGCTTGAGCTGCTGCTACCCCTCCCTTGTGCTCTTGCTCTTTGCCGCAGCCAGGAAAAGTTGCTTTCTGCTATGTGCCGCTCTGCCTTGGACCCGGCAAAATATGGACTGAACCCTCCAGTAACTCTGAACTAAATAAACCTCTCCTTCCTTCATTTTGAGTGTCGGGTATTTGTCCCAGCAATAAGAGAAGAGTAACTAAGACAGATGGCATACACCTGTCATCCAGCATGCAGGAGGCTGAAGCAGGGAGGCTGCAGTGAATTTGAAGCTGTAGTAAGACCCTGTCTCAAACCAAAAACCAAAGCAACAACAAACAAACAAACCAGTTCTAGGTTAGAAAAAAAAGAAAGATGGGCTGGAGAGATGGCTCAGTGGTCTAAAGCACCTACTTAGAACAAGCTTAGCAAAGCATCAGGGACCGCGGTTCGATCCCCCAGCACCACATGCCAGCCAGCCCCGCCCCTTGGTGGGCTGAGCTGGCCACACACACACACACACACTCTCTCTCTCTCTCTCTCTCTCTCTCTCTCTCTCTCTCTCTCTAATAAATAAATAAATAAATAAAAATTTTTTAAAAAAAGAAAGAAAACAGTCCCAGGTCTCCACTGAACAGGCCAAGCCTGCAGGGCTCTGCCAAGCTGTCCCTTTCCCTGCTCCCAAGAAGGGCACAGTCTGGTTGGCCTCAGCAAGACCCCCCCAGCCTGCAGACCTTCCCAAGGGTCCAGACCTGTGCTGTCATGGAGATTGACCAGAGGAGGGGTGCTGAGGACAGGGGATCCCTAACTTCCCCGCTGTGGGTCTCTGTTCTGTCCTGTCGCCCAACCACAAGTCATGAGACAGTCTTTGGAACCCTGTCACGGGTGGGAGCAGCAGGGAGCTGAGTGTAGGGACAGGGGAGAAGGGGGCAGCCACAGGAGACTCTTCCCACCCACATTTGAAACTCCATAATCCTTGTACCCTAAAGCCTGGGTTACCACCTTGACAGACTGGCAATTGTCAGGGGCACTGAGTAACAGCAAGGATCTGGCTCCCCAGAGCACATGTGATGTGGGGGGCCCCCCATTCAATATGCCCAGTGTCCCTGGCAATGGTCATCCATTTGCTAAGGTTTGTGTGTAGCTGTCGCCTCAAACCTTCATGCAGTCATTGGGGCAAGATTCTAGAGTTTGTGACTAATTTATAATCCAGTGCTGGGATTGTGGGTGCGAGGACCCTTTTGCTCTTGCTGCTTTTGCTGTTCTCTGCCACCATGAACTGCTGCCCTCTGCCATGTGCCACTCTGCCTTGAAGCGAGTATGGACTGAAATCTCCACACACTGAGCTTAAAAAAAAATCTTTCTGGGCTGGTGAGATGGCTCAGTGGTCTAAAGCACCTACTTGGAACAAGCTTAGCAAAGCACAAGGACCGTGGTTCAATCCCCCAGCACCACATGCCAGCCAGCCCCGCCCCCTGATGGGCTGAGCAGGCCACACACACACACACACACACACACACACATAAATAAATAAAATTAAAAAAAAAATCTTTCCTTCATACTGGGTGTTGGGTATTTTGTCTCAGCAATGAGAGAAAAGTTATGGAGACAAGATTCTTTGGTCTCCATCGGGCTCTCATCAGGGTTAGCGGTGAGGCTGGCTGATCTCGAGGAATCCTGGCTGGGACAGGTATCCCCCTACTTGGCTCCTGTCCTCCAGTGCACCAGCCCTGCTGGCTCATGCCTGGGTAGAAGTGCAAGAGAAGGAATGGACACTGTCAGGCCCCTTGAAGTCTAGGCTTGGGACTAACATGCTGTTACTTCTTTCACACTTTATGCAGCAAATCAAGTCAGACTGCCAGGCCAGATTCAAATGGTAGTGAACAGATTTCTTTTTTTTTTTTTTTTTTGGCTGAACTGGGAATTGATCTCAGGCCTTTGCACTTGCCAGGGAAGTGCTAATTCTACTGAGCCGTCTCCCCGGCCCAGGGAACAGATTTTGCTTTTTTTTTTTTTTTTTTTTTTTTTTTTTTTTTTTTTTTTTTTTTTTTTTTTTTTTTTTTTTTTTTTTTTTTTTTTTTTTTTTTTTCAGAACTGGGGATTGAATTCAGACCCTCGTGCTTGCCAGGGAAGCACTTATTCCACTGAGCCATCTCCCCAGCCCTTTCTTTCTGTTTTTGAGACAGGGTCTTGTCATATAGTTCAAGCTGCCCTTGAACTCACTCTGTAGCCCAGGTTGACATCCCATTTATGACACTCTTCCTGCCTCAGACTCCAAGTGCTGGGAGTACAGGCGAGCTACACCAGGCCCAGCTAGGACCAGTGGCAAAGTTACCTTGCCAAGCGGTATGGACACAGGAAATCATTGATCAAAATGTTCAGGACAGAGACATCTCTTGTCCCAGACTCCTTGCTTCAGGTTTTCACACACTTCCCAGTAAAGGTAGCCAATTTCTGTAGGATTTCTGTAAATGAATAGGCAGGAAGTGAAACCTGCAGTCTAGAAAGACAGCTCCACATGTGCTCCGCACAAGTGCACGGACACCGTGTCTGCTGCTCTGCCTGATTCCCGGACCTGCACTCATGCAATTGACACAGGACGCTTTCCTCTAACTTGATCAACTTTGATTTTTTTTTAAACTTTTGGGTGGGATCATTTTTGCTGTGCAGTGCTGTCCTATGTATTTTATTTTATTTTATTTATTTTTAATTTTACTTATTTATTTGTGTGTGTGTGTGTGTGTGTGGCCAGCTCAGCC